GCAAAATCCCTGTGGGAGGAAAGGAATTAAAACAGAATGGGCACAAGCCCGTAAAGGGATTTAAGCAAATGGGCCAGAGGCAGGGGAAGGAACGTGGTAAGAATGTCAGATCAGGAGAGTTCCTTTTTAAGATAGGTGATATAATGCCCAGAATACTGACGTATGCTGATTATAATGCGGCCCAACAAGAGCGCCTGGGTGGCGCAGTCGGTTAAACGTCCGACTTCAGCCAGGTCACGATCTGCGGTCGTGAGTTGAGCCAGCGTCAGGCTCTAGTTGTCTTTGTTACAAACCTGTTCCGATTCTGTGTCTCCCTCTCTCTCTGCCCCTCCCAGCCATATACTCTGTCTCTCTCTGTCCCAAAAATAAATAAAAACGTTGAAAAAAAAATTAAAAAAAAAAAAATAATATTGTAGGCAGAAATTATTTTAATTAGCGAGAAGGATTCCTAAAGATATATCTTTGGGATCCGCTGCACAAGGACGGAAAGGGCCATGGGCAGTCATTTACAGTGACAGGAGGGGAGGCAGAGTTGATAGGCTAAGATGCTGGCAAGTGGGCTGATGCTTGCTGGGAACTTAGGGAAGTCTCTGTCTAGTTGGTAAACAGGCCTGGAGTTCAAGAGAAAAGTTTGAGCTAAAGGTAGAGACAGCATAACAGGTAGTCGAAGGTATGCAATAGAAAAGATCTGCTATGGGGAAGAGACGGTCGAATATGGCATGAGAACACCAATTAACAAAATGTGGCTTCTGACCATAAGTACATTAAAAGTTCAGAGAAGAAATGAGCAACAAAGAACGACAAGACTTGAGTCAAAGGGGCAGGATTTAGCGAGACATCATTCCAGGATCAGGGCAGTAGCAAGTGTATTAAAAAGCATAATAAGAAGAATGGTCTGAGCTAAGAACAGGAGAGAGAAAATGGCACCAAGTGAGAGAAAGTTCTGGTTGTCTGCCTTGATTTGCTATACATATAGGAAGAATTTTAGTTAGTGGGAGCAATGGTTAAGGGAACTTAAATGGTTTGCAATACTGATTGAAGATTAACATGTCAGGGGTGGGATCAACCCTGTAAGTAAGAGGAATGCTTGGCCACAGAGTTAGGACTCTGATAATGGGAATGGGGAGGAAGATTAACCATGGATATTAGAAACAAAGACTTGGGGAGGGCAAACAAATTCTTAGAGATTTTATTCTAGGGTGCTTTTCCCCTTTAAAATTTGTGCTTTACATATTTTAAAGCAGAATTATATTTATTTTAATACAAAACTCTCCCTAATCCTGCAAGAATTTCAAACTGTCATTCAGGTTACATAGAAACACCTTGTTTAAATAACTTACACCCACAATCCCTATTCTTTATACACGTATGAGGCAAAGCCATTGCTAACCACATTTGATAACATTTAATCCGGGTTTCTGTTGATTTCAATATAATAAAAGTTGGTACATTTCCTGGAATTGGGTACTGGAGAGTAAAGGGAAATTCTCATATGTTTTCTTTTGGTTCTATTCGCACAGTCAGGTGAACCAAGACAATAGAATTTCAATTTGAAATATGAAAATAGTTTCCTTTTTCTCATTACAAAGCAACCCATTAGTTTTACAGAATTTCTATGTCACTTTCAATTTTTTTTTTTTTTTTTTTTTTTTTTTTGCCAAAATGAAAATTTGCATCTAATGAACATCATTTCAGTGTATAAGGACACATGGAAACTCACTGGGGAAACTGGGAGAAGAATGGAGTATTCAGATAATGGAAAACGGTTACTGGAATGGAAAGATTTTGAACTCTAGAACCAACCAACCAAACAAATGAGAGACATTAATCTCCAAAACCTATTGGTTTCTCTATGTCAGATGATTAGAAAGAATCCCGGAGAGAGAGAGAGCAAGTACCAGTATTAATGATTCTAGAATCAGAGATGTACATCTTAAAAAAAAATTCCTTCACATGAACTCACTTTCAAAAAAGGGGATTCATTCCAAAACTAGGACAGGAAATTGAGTTTAACAAATCAGAAAACATTTACAGAGCTTAGCACAGTACAAACCTCCACAGAAGCAGCAGAGAGAATCAAAATGCGGCCCCATTCTGAAGGAATTTATAAGGATAATGCATCAGAAAAATAAAAGAATTAAGAGACAATTTAGAACTCTCTTTGAATTATCTAATAGTCTGGAAGTAGGAAGCAAGAAGCAGGATTGGATTTATTGTTCTAAATCGTAGAAGATACATGATGTAAATTGCATCTCAGTGCAAGAAAGGGTGTTCTAAAAATTCGCAGTGTTCAAACATGAAACAGACTGAAGTTTCAGGTAGCGGATTTCATTCAACAATCATTCATGTATCGGGCTTCCTCACCTATTACACATGTGGGCTGGAGTGATGAGGTTCATCAGTCAGCATGACGCTTTCTTATCCCCCAGGAGTCACAACCTTGGGACGCATCATCTATAGATAATTATTTGACATGGATGTTCTGGAAAGATACAACAAGATTCTTTTTGAATATCTTTTAAGAAGACAAGACATACATATACAGAACAAAATATCGGAATCAGATTTAAATTGAAGGTCAAGACAACAGCAAGCGGTGAGTGGCATTCACCAGGACAAGAAAAATGTGCTCTGATGGCTCAGAAATATTGCTTAGGACTAGGGGTAGGTTTGGGAGAACTGTACACGGAGTTAGAGCTTAGACAGCGAGTCAGGACATTTCAGGGAGAATTGGGCAGAGAATCATCTAGGTGGAGTAGTGCATGATGTGTTCAGAGATCAGGGAATGATTCAACTTCACTGAATAAAGTGTTCATAAAGGCAGCCGTAGAGATAAATCCAGGTTGTAGGAGAACTTGAACAATGTCAGCTTTTCCCAAATTTCAGGAAATCATGTCATTATGCCATTATCTTTATGATTTTTGTATTAACCATATACCATTTTACTTACTTGGTAATCTTTCAAGACGGATGGACATCTTTTGTGTTACCTCATCCTAAACTCTACTATCCATGGGTTTATGAGTCTTAAATTATCTAATAAACATGATAGTTAATCTGTAACTATTAAAAGTATTTATCTGTATATCTTGCAAAATCAACCTGCTTTCCCCTCACGGAGCATGGACCACGTTTGGAGAATTAACGTTTTAAATAATGGAAAATCACGCTTTAAATAATGGAATTTAAGTGACATAACAGGAGCTGGATTTCGGAGAAAATTCATCTGGTGGCTATGTGTCGAATGAACAACTTTGGCCATTGTGGGAGGTAGGAAGATCAATTAAAAAGCAGAACCTGCTTTAGCATAAACAATCAGGACAGGAAGAGATATTTTATTTATTTATTTATTTATTTATTTATTTATTTAATGTTTATATTTGAGAGAGAGAGAGAGCATGAGTGTGGGAGGGGCAGAGAGAGAGGGAGACACAGAATCTGAAGCAGGATCCAGGCTCTGAGCTGTCAGCACAGGGCCCAACGCAGGACTCCAATCCACAAACCACAGGATTATGACCTGAGCCGAAGTTGGATTCTCAATTGACTGGGCCACTCAGGTGCCCCAGGACAGGAAGAGATGTTTAAAAGTAACTTTACAATGAATTAGATGTGGGAGCAAAGGGAGAGGAAAATGTCTGAGAGTCCAGTTAAATGGATGACACCTATATCTAATATTTTAAAGATGTTCAGCTCTTTAGAGGCACAAGGAAATAATTTCCTGAAAATGAGATTTTGGATGATGTAATAGTACAAGTATTTAGGGAAGAGGACTTCACTTAAAAAAAATGGGCAGATTTGGGGCGCCTGGGTGCCTCGGTCAGTCGGGCGTCTGACTTCAGCTCAGGTCATGATCTTGCGGTTCATGAGTTCAAGCCCCGTGTCGGGCTCTGTGCTGACAGCTCAGAGCCGGGAGCCTGCTTCGAATATGTGTCTTCCTCTCTCTCTGACCCTCCCCCACTCACACTCTGTCTCTCTCAAAAATAAATAAACATTAAAAAATTGTGTTTTAAATGGGCCAATTCTATAAAGATGAAGAAATTGTATGATCTGAAGCCTAACTTCTTGGTTTTCAGCACATGAGCTCTGCAGCAGTAGCCAGATTCTGGAGACGCCCAGAGACTCAACTCAGTGGGCACTCATTAACTTATTGACCAGGTTATAATCTGTGTTTTGCAAAGTGGTCAGAGAAACTTCCTACATTTCAGACTATTTTACAGTCTTTCGGAGGGAAGCCAGCAACTGTGGTTCCTGCTGAAATCCTTTTATAATGCAAAAATTGAGGGCCACTGGTTATGAACCCAATCATAAGCAGGTATATCTATTCTCCTTTGGCATTTTATGAGCTTTGTTGAAACTGGAGCTTGTCTTACGCTCTGTTCTGTTTCTGCTACAGCCACACGTATAAGTTCTTAGCACATTGTTGTTATGCTGGGTGCCTTCTAGAAGAGTTGAGTATTGGCCTTATTAATGGAACCATTGAGCTACCAGGAAAATATATTTTATTTAAAAAAAGAGTTCAACGGGGTGCCTGGGCAGCTCAGTTGGCCAAGCATCAGACTTCTACTCAGGTTTTAAATCTCACGGCCCATGAGCTCGAGCCCTGCATTGGGCTCTGTGCTGACTCTCTCTCTCTCTCTCTGTCTCTCTCCCTTCTACCACTCATGCATGTGCTCTCTGTATCCCAGAATTAATAAATAAACTTTAAAAAAGGAGTTCAACAGCCATGGCTTGAACTCATCTGATTCACTCACTAATTTCACTTCTAGAGTTGAATAAACCTCTGAATCACTGTCAACAAGAACATTGCACACTTGAGTCAATGTGATTTTGTACTTCTGGCTGTCAGTTTTCTTATGCAACATTCTTTCTTAATGTGTTGTGTAATGTTATTTCTGTAAAAATATAAATACCCGGAAGCGAGCCGGGTTTTACCCTAAAACTTTCTCCAGTGATACCAAATATGAGAATCTGAGTTTATCGAAGATCACCAACTTCTAGCTATGATTACATCATATTTTCCAAAATATGTGGCACTATTTGCCATCTGTGTCCTATGTGTGGGTGCATTGGACACTTTCATTGCTGCAGTGTATGAACACGCTGTCATATTACCAAACAGAACAGGGACACCAGTTTCCAAAGAAGAAGCTTTGCTCCTGATGAACAAGAACATGGATGTTTTGGAGAACGCAGTTAAACTGGCAGCCAGGCAGGTATTGTCCTTTCTTATGCTGGCTGGGATATTGCAGAGGAAATTTGAAACTTGGAAAGAGCGTGGGTATTTGGAATTTGTGAAAGACTGTTTTGCTCGTACTTGTTTTGAGCAGGGCGCACATATCATTGTTACCCCAGAAGATGGAATTTATGGCTGGGTTTTCACAAGAGAGACCATTTACCCCTATCTGGAAGATATCCCAGACCCAGAGGTGAACTGGATTCCATGTACAGATCCCCAGAGGTAATGTCATTACCCTTTGATTTTTGAACAAAAAAATTGTGATATTGCAAAAAATACAAATAACAAATCCATTAAACTTGACTCGTTCTCTTTTCTGGCAATCAATTTATGGCTCTGGACCCACAAGCCTCTTCATACTGTGTGCCGTCTGGCATGGCTTGAGATGATGATTCTTGGTTGGTTATTTATTGTGGCTTTCTTTAATGAATGGCCTGTGTGTACATAGTTTTTATAATAAATACACTCCATGGGGTTTCAACAAAGTGAAAAAGTTGTACTAGCTAGGACTTCTGTCCCCAAATAAAGTAAGCTCACCCATGAATACCTGCCTCCTTTGCAGGAATGGTAAAAAGATAAATGAACTTATGTTTCCAAAGAGCTCTGATATCACTCGCATTTGCGGTGTGATGAGTATGGCAGGTGGAAACTGCACAGGACTTGAAAGAGGAAGCATCATTTCCAAGACAATACCACCTCCTAGCTGTGTGATGGGTGGCAGATCACCTAAATACTTCTCATCTCCGTTTCTTTATCCACGAAACAGAGATAATAAAATTTCCTGTCCTACTTCCTTTACAGAGTAGACAAGAGTTTCAACTGAAGTAATACACGTAGAATCTAAACACAGTTGGGGCGCCTGGGTG